TTACAGACATTAGTTCCATTTCATCCTGAAGCGAATTTTGGGGTAACTTTTAAAATTACTGGGTTTTAAAGGTACAGCAAAAATCATAATTCACGTTTCCAAGGATACAAAGAAATCCAATTCAACCAGACAAGGGGTGGTTGCGTGTTCATCATGGCTTTATTTTGATGTATCAGTTATTAGTTACGTTTTGGTAGGGGTAGGGATGGATTTCTCAATGAAATCTGACATCCGTTAAATGCATGTCGCCTGGATTTTTTAAAATTATATTGTTAATGGCAAAAATTCTTACGGCACTTTTTGTATTTGTATATTTAAAGATTTTTTGGGGGGGTGTTTAGGTTAGAATACATTTTATTTAACTACGATTTGAAAAATATTTTCACTTTTAATTTTTAATATACTATATTTCTTTTAAGAACAAGTATATGTATTAGAATCCCTTTCAGTATGTAGAATTATTTTCACATCAATTATAAGTATGTATATTATTAGGTAACAATTTTTTTTTAAATTATATTTAAATATTATTTAAGCAAAATTTATGACACTGACGGCAAAAAATAGATAATTAATTTCTCTGATTTAGTAAACTGTTATTTTTTTATATAAATCTAGTAATATATTGTTTCTCATGTAAGTACAAAGGACATGGGTCATTCAAAAGCTTACATCTTGCATTTCATATTAATTTCATATCACTGCAGGTGTTTTATTAGATTCTTTTAAGACGATTGCGTCTAGCATGAAACAGACTGTAGCCTCTAAGTGTTGACTTCTATGTTCACTTTTATATATATATATATATATATATATATATATATATATATATATATATATATATATATATATATATACTGCAAGAAAGATGCGCATTAATATAGATATGAACTAATTTATATATAAGCAAGCAATTTTCAATTGTTTTATAAATCAGTGTTAATGATGGACTAAAATATTTCCATTGAATACATATCTTTAGAAATGAAGTTGCTACTTTTGAAATTCATTTGCCAAGACAGTCAATACTCAACTTTGGAAAACATTTGTTTTCTGTATCAATAAATAAGGTATTGTTTAAGAATGTAGAATAATTCTTTAAATGAATCTTTTGACTAAAATGTGAATTAACAATTACAAATGATTTTTAATTCTTCTGCCTAGAATTCTAAACCAAAATATAATTCCATCTCACCTTTTGCTTATAAAAACGAGTATTTCTATGAAGCAACCAAATTCTACCAGGTCCATCCAATGTAGCTCTACATTCATCAATACAATTACTGCAGAGAAATCGCTTTTTATATACTTTTTACCAATTTGTTTTTTGTCTTCTTTGTAATGTTTACTTAAATGAATTCGGTTGCTTTTATGTCTTTCACCAGTGTTCTTAATATTTTCTCTTTCTTTTCTGTTTGCATTTACAAAACAAGGCTCTTCAATTATTTTGCTGAAGAATATAATTTTCTTGCTGATGATACTGTAACAATATTTAGCATGGCGTACGGACGATAAGGGTTAAACAAAACGATTTTATTTTTTTTATCAGAAAGAGACTTATTCTCCCAGGATATGGGAACAGATGTATGAATTTTGTTGAAAAAGTTACACAATGCGATTCAGCTAAACACAGCTGGCAGGTCGGGGAACCAGAGGTTAAGGTCGTCTGCTGAAAGGTGTCAATGGGAAAATTGTCAGCCAAAATCTTTACATGAGAAAAAAATTAAAAGCAGATGACGTCAGGAAGGCTGACATCATATAATGGCTCCTCCAGAAAGAGGAGAGGATCTTCCAAAAATTGGAAGTATGAAATAGAAAACGAAAGAAAGAGAAAGGTTGAATTTTAGGAGATTTGCATAAAACGAACCTATTCGCCCGCGCCATACCAGTTGGAAGTGACACCAATAAATACAATTGCCCACGGTGGCCAAAATTAGCCGGAAGCAGGTGGAGGCAGTCCGAGCGGGTGCAGTCTGAGGCAGTCCTAGGAGATGCCGTAGCAGTAGCAGTAACAGTTGGGGTTAGTAGGAGTTGAGGTTGCGGTCTGTAGTTGCGATAGGGAGTTAAGAGATTTCTGACATAACGCTGTTTTGCCAACCCAATAATAATAATAATAATAATTATTATTATTATTATTATTATCTGCTGAAGAAGAAAAACTCCGACGAAATCCTTGTGCCTTCCGCGAAAGTACAAACAACAGCACTTGAAGTTAAATCCAGTTGTCGCTGAGGAAAGACTCCGACGATAAACCATGTACCGTTCTAAAAAGTACAAATTAAAGTACTTGAAGATAAATCCAGTTGTTAAGTCTGGCCAACCTTAAAGAAGTTACCCGAAATTTTCGGTCCGTCGCCAAATATTAGAACGGGTTAGGGAAAGAAGAAAAAGAACAAAAAAAGAACTGTAAATATTTTTTTGTTATTCTGATATAAACATCATATCGTGACTTTTTCGGGCGTCGTCCATTTTATTTTTCAATTTTGTATGCACGTGTTCAACTCCTTGGTTTAGCGTGGTTAAGATACCCCAGTGGAAATTCGGCTTGACTCTCTTAAGATCAAAATCACAACGTGGGTAAGAGAGGTCATAGTTGAAGAGTTTAGATCGTTACTGAGAAATTCTTAAAGGTCGTTTTTCTTAAAGCGTGTTTTCTTTCTTTTCACTGTTTTATGATTTCTATTCAATATTTTTGCAATTTCCAAAGATGTATCTCCATCAATCAATAATTTCAGAATCTCTCTTTTATCTTAAGGTCATATCTTTCATGGCAATCTTTATATATGTAAAATAAAAACATATATCAATAATTTTAAGACATTTTTATGTTTATACATTCTTTTTATAGATACAAATATTTAAGTAAATGCTCCGTTTATAATAAACAGTATTAATAACATTTACCGACTTGAATGGGCCACCTAAAACAATTGGTTTATGCAGATGACATTTATAAGGCAGAGACACTGTCATGTGGGTGTATTTAAAAGGGTCCACCAGTGAATGATCCGACGGGCGCATGCATGTGTAGAAACAAGCAGAGGAGATTTTGAACATTTGTTATGAGTTGCTATGTTGAGGTACAACAATAGTCTTTTGAACATATGTTTATATATATATATATATATATATATATATATATAAACCTTGGTTTGGTGTCAGAACCTGCCCCCACGAAAGTTTGTAAAAGTATTTTAGGATTATATTTTGCATTGTACCGTAAAATTTAAACTTAAAAATTTAAATTTAAAGTTTGAATTTTACGGTATCAAAAACGAAGGATTTGTGAACATATGTTTATATGGAGTTTTGTCCTTGTTTTGGTGTGAGGAACCCGCCCCAACGTTAGTACTAGTATTTTTATACACCCTGTATATATACACTATTGACATTACTCGGACTATTGTCCTCATGTTTGTCGTCATATTTATTACAACGTTTCGGCCGTTATACGCTCCGGCCTTATTCAGGTGGTTGGAATGTCGAACTGAACCCTTTATTTCGCTCACCGGGGTAGACTGTTCTAGTTCCACGTGCCATGTTTAATTGACGTCAGTTGTCAGTTATCGCCTGTTAATTCCCCTCTCCAAGTTCTCCACTGCCTTAACCGGGTATTGAACTCACACTCTTTGGATCCTATTGTAATGAAATATCCCACTCTCCCTATCGCCTATTGTGAACTGACTATATATATATATATATATATATATATATATATATATATATATATATATATATATATATATAGAGAGAGAGAGAGAGAGAGAGAGAGAGAGAGAGAGAGAGTCTGGGGAGGTAGACAGCTAGCCGACACTGTTTTTTTACGGGAACTACGGGGAATTTTTGCCCTAGCCCATGCGCTCGGTTTAAACCCACATTAAAAAAAGCCCTTGTCCCACATCCTGCCTCGCGAGGAGGTGAGGTAAATAACCTTACTTCGGCAATTAGTTGGAGATTCGTCTCCAACTGGGCTCGTCGAACTATCTGCCTTCGGACAGACAGGAACCCAGATGAGGCTATGCCGAAGGGCAGAGTCTTGTCTGGGGAGGTAGAGAGTCTACGGGTAATTTCTTTCGAGCCTATGTGTTCGGTTTTCCACCGAATTAAAAAAAAAAACAGCCTTGTGACACGTCCTGCCTCGCGGGGAGGTAATGTAAATAACACTGCTTCGGGAATTAGTCTAAAGATTCATGTCCAGCTGTGCTGGTCGAAGACTCTGCCTTCGGGCAGAGAAGATCCCCAATTGATACTAAATGTTAGTATCTCGTCTCAGTAAACAGCTACCTGACCCCGTTGTATACGGGGAATTTTTTGAGTGAGCCTACGGCCTGGAGCGGCATGTAGATATGATTACGTCCGGAATTCCTAGCCTGCTAACATATTCCCTGTCTTTCAGTAGTGTGTTATCTTGTACAATAAAGCTCTCTTTCTTTCATCTACATCCATGTTGCAGTTCCTTCATTCGAGAACCACCACTGTGTGTAACCATCTCTAAGGATACAACACAATGAAACAAAAACATCTAAATACTGTTTCGAAACAATGTGGAAGAAAGAAAGAATGGAAAAATGAATGAAAGAAAGAATGAAAGAAAGAATGAATGAAAGAAAGAATAAATGAAAGAAAGGATAAAAGAAGGAAAGAACGAAAGAAAAAAGAATGAATGAAAGAATGAATGAAAGTATGAATTAAAGAAAGAAAGAATGAAAGAAAGAATGAAATAAAGAAAGAATGAAAGATAGAAACAATGAATGAAAGAAAGAAAGAAAAAGAATGAATGAAAGAAAAAAGAATGAAAGAAAGAAAGAATGAAAGAAAGAATGAATGAAAGAAAGAATTATTGAAGGAAAGAAAGAAAGAATGAAAGAAGGAAAGAATGAAAGAAAGAAAGAATGAATGAAAAAAGAAAGAAAGAATGAAAGAATGAATGAAAGAATGAAAGCAAGAAAGAATGAAAGAATGAAAGAAAGAAAAAAGAAAGAAAGTATGAAAAAAAGAATTTAAGAAAGAATGAATGAATGAATGAAAGAAAGAATGAATAAAAGAAAGAAAAAAGAATGAATAGAATAAATAAAGAATGAAAGATGGAAAGAATGAAAGAAAGAATGAATGAAAGAAAGAAAGAATGCAAGCAAGCAAGAATGAAAGAAAGAAAGAAACAATGAATGAAAGAAAGAAGGAAAAAAGAATGAATAAAAGAAAACGAATGAAAGAAAGAAAGAATGAATGAAAGAAAGTATGAAAGAAGGAAAAAATGAAAGAAAGAAAGAATGAATGAAAGAAAGAAAGAAAAAATGAAAGAATGAATGAATGAAAGAAAGAAAGTATGAAGGAAAGAAAGAATGAATGAAAGAAAAAAGAATGAAAGAAAGAAAGAAAGAATGAAATAAAGAAAGAATGAAAGATAGAAACAATGAATGAAAGAAAGAAAAATGAATGAATGAAAGAAAAAAGAATGAAAGAAAGAAAGAAAGAAAGAATGAATGAATGAATGAATGAATGAAAGAAAGAAAGAATGAAAGAAGGAAAGAAGGAAAGAAAAAAAGAATGAAAGAATGAAAGAAAGAAAAAAGAAAGAAAGTATGAAAGAAAAAAGAATTTAAGAAAGAAAGAATGAATGAATGAAAGAAAGAATGAATGAAAGAAAAAAGAATGAATAAAAGAAAGAAAGAATGAAAGATGGAAAGAATGAAAGAAAGAATGAATGAAAGAAAGAAAGAAAGAATGAATGAAAGAAAAAAAGAATGTATAAGAGAAAGAAAGAATGAAAAAAAGAAAGAAAGAATGAAAGAAAGAAAGAAAGAAAGAATGAACGAAAGAAAGAAAGAAAGAACGAAAGAAAGAAAGAAAGAAAGAAAGAAAGATAGGACGAAGGAAAGTAGAAGGGAGTAAAATATAATGGGAAACCCAGGAAAAAGATTGAAAGAAAAGACATTAAAGGAAAAAGTCGATATAATCGAAAAGAATAATTGATAAAAGCAAGTAAAAACAAATCGGTAATCAGAAATAAAGAAAGACAGAAAGAAGTAGGTCTTGAATGAAAATGGAAATAAATAAAGAAAGAAAACAGAATCTTAATACAATTAAAGAAAAAGGCAAATCATAAACAAGAGAGAAAACACAGAATGAATGAACAAATAAAAGACAGTAGAGATGACGTAAAGAACTGAAGAATTAAGAGAAAAGTTTTGAAATTCAAAAGAAAAAGACGAGAGAAAAAGACAAAGAAAACACAAACATAAAAAATGGAAAAAAATATTTAAGTCATTGTATTCAGAAATAAAACAGTAAGAGAAAATCCAATGCCACAAGACTATTAAAAACAACCTCATGGAATCAAAGACATGCATTTGTGCATCTAAAGAACATTTATTTTTTTGCCTCACTTGAACTTACAATGCATGATAGTGTGAAGAGATTAAATAACAAGAAAAGAAGGCAAACTAAGTAGACAGAAAGCAATGAAGCATAAAAGAACAAATTATACGCAAACTAGGAAAAAAACAAAAAAACACCAACAGCGATGAAGCAGAAAGCATTGCAAATGAAAATAAACAAAAATATTTAAGGAAATCACAAAACTAAAAATCATAGCTTAAAATCGGAAAGAAAAAAAATTAAAGTCGAATATGGGGATTAAGAATGACACTTGAAAGTTAATTTGTAGTTAGCCAAGAACGAATTAACCAGCGTCAATGAATTAACAGTTAAGCTATATACAAGAATGTACAATTGAAAAATATTGTTTTAAAATCAGGTTTGTATTTTTGCTGCTACGCAATCATTTCTTAGACCTTTTCGTAGATGATCATTGAACGCCAAGATTTTACGACGTGTCGTTTGACAAGTGAACATACTAATAACCGATTTAAAAAAGAACGACGTTTTTCTTAACGTGACAAGCGCAGATATTATGCTAATAAAACATGCAGTGACTGTTTTCTGTCGATTTTACTTAATATTGATTCGTTTCATTGGTTTAGCGCGTATTGCCAAACTGATTCAATGCCTCACTGGAGAAAAAAAATCCATTAGACTGGCTTCATAAGTGCGGCTGATTAAACGTCTGAATACGCCATTATGCGTCAGGTTGCTGAGAAGAGATAAACTATTTCCAGTTTCTTTACATGTTAGATACACTATTTTAATTTCCGAACCTCAGATTATGTATAGATGAGGTCTTCGACGCGAGGAACTGTATTTATTATAAACTACAAAAGCATAATAGGTGTTTAAAGAAGATAGAATTCAACATTTTACTGGAAAATATGAACAAGAAACCAATCAATACGTTGCGGTAGTTGAAAAAAAGAATCTCTATTTGAGGATTTGTATACATTCAGAATAATTTTCTAGGTATTGATATGATTTTCACAACGTTTCGGCTGTTGTGAACTTCGACATAATTCAGGCATCTGTAGCAATCTTTGGGGAAGTTGAAACTGAACAAATTTAATATACAGAGGTAAATTGTTCATGCCTAAGGATGTCTCCTGTTCTTTTTGTACTGTTCATTTATTTCCCACCCTGTTTTTAACGATTGGGCACTCTCTTGTACAGAGTTTGAATTCACAGTTATTATGCTACACAATTAAAAAAAAGCTTTAATACTCTAAGCTATTGTTTTGCTGGACATTCATTTGAGGAATGCCGACAAGACATAAAATCTAAATTATAATAAAATGATTTCTAAAGCATAAAAAGAACGATGACGACAGTTTATGAAATTAGTTAAATTTCACGGCAAAGGGCTAAATGATATATCTGAAAAGACTCTGTACTACAATCAATCAAGATATTGCTGGTAATACTTTTTATCTATCTATCTATCTATCTATCTATCTATCTATCTATCTATCTATTTCAGTATATATTGATTTGGTTTGATTTGTTTTACGGCATATCAACCACAATGGGTTATTTAATGTCGACAAGATTTTTATTGCTGGTAATACTTTTCACAAAAATTCATTGCTGGTAATATTTCTTTTTTTAAAAATGTATTGGTGGTAATATTTTTCCAAAAAAGTTTTGCTTGTACTATTTTCTCCAAAAAATATTGCTGGTAATAATTTTTTCCTAGAAAACTTATTGCTGGTAATACTTTTTTGCAAAAATGTATTACTGATATTAAAAACGTATTTTTACACGTTTTTCCTCCCAGGTTGGGGTGGGGGGGTTAACTATTTGCCCATAGCTGGGACCCTAACAGGTGCTACCACTCCGGTTCAGAGTGGATCTGGGAACACCAGCAATCAAGAAGTGGTTCCGGGTTCTTCAAAACCTTCTGATCAAAGGCTTTGAAGCTTTGCTGTTGGACATTGTTTATCGTTTTACCCAGGATGCAGATGTAGTTTGATGCATATGCAAGATATTAGATATGGCTATCAATACTGAAGGACGCCCGAACTAAATCGATTACGATCGGCTTTTCGTTGTAAACCAAAAGAAATCAAAATTAACTTTGCCCCATCATTGCAATTTTGCACCAAGTCAGTATACCTTTAAGATATATCTACTTGGAAATATTACATTAACTTAGTCCCGTATTTGTCGAGCAAACCAAATTGAAAATTACCAACTCACGTCTAAATAATAATTTGGACATTGTCATTAGTTTCCCGGAAGCCTGTTGATTTTCAATAATCTAAGCGTCAGTATCTTGCCAAGCGTTACATCTGGCTGTAAAGGCTAATATGTGAGAGACAGACACGACCAAATATGTTGCATGTACAAGACTGCCCAATGGTATCGATAAGACCCTGGTGCCTTGTACTTCATCCTTGTTCTCTTGGTCTCACTCTGGTGGATCCATATGTCAACAGCTGTGGATTCTTTGATACCACTGAATGCGATATTGAGTGATGTTTTTCCAGATGACAGGGTTGATATTAAACGATATAAAGTTCTTGTTTACAAATGTCCTTAAATATAAGTTGTGAGCAGTCAGTTTCTCTCCTTCCGTTTGAAGGATCTGCATAGAGAATGCCATTCGAAATTCTTCCATCATCCACCTTCTGGATATGACCCAACCAACGGAGACATCGCTACCTTAGATGAGTGCATATGCTTAGAAGATATGATTTTTGTGTTTGAATTTGTCCTTCCAGGGAAATGCCTAATATGTATCTTAAACATTGAAAGTGAAAGCTATTTGTCTCCATCTTTTGATGTGTACTAATGTACGCATTATTAAACGTTTCCATTGAGCAGTAAGTGGAGAGCTTGTTCAAGATCAGTGATGGAAGATTGATTCGTAATTTTCCATTGCTACATTTCTTATGAAAATCATTTACGAACAGATTTTATGAAAAATAAATAATGGAATCCTCATTCAAATTAGCACAAAAATAATTTCAAAAGAAGTAAAAGAAAAACTATGAGTTGCTGATGGCTGTTTATAAAACAAAATCTTTATATCTTTAATAAGACAAGATTTTATTGGCTGAGTCATGTAAAAAGGTCGGATTTAATCTCTCCAATTGACCATACACGTTTCTTTTTATTGTAAATTTAGAGATTTGTTGTTTGACTGCAGGATTTACTGACTGAAGCCAGATGGAGGATGAAATTTAAATCGATTTGGATTAACTACAAATTAAGATCGATAAAAATTTACGATCTAAAGAATTAAGTGACCAAGGGAGATAATCAGGTTTTTTTTTAAACTGCAATGGTTTTCACAAGGATCCGACGCGCAATATAGAAAAAATGATTTCCATTTTTATCGCTGTTTTTCTTGTTGACTACTTAAGAATCGATGATTCGAAAAAAACATCCGCAATTCAAGAAACAATATATATATATATATATATATATATATATATATATATATATATATATGTGTGTGTGTGTGTGTGTATATATATATATATATATATATATATATATATATATAACGAAGAAAGTTGTGTGCAAGAACCGAGGCAATAGATTATATATAAGGTTCAAGATTTAGAAAGATGCTTTCATTCCAGGAAGAATGAAAATTAACAAAAAGAATTAAACTTAAGGAGAGATGTAGATCTCAAAAGCTGTCATTACTGACAACGTCTAAAGCTATTAAGGGCTAAACTGTTTAAAGCTATTACGATTGGATATTATGTTTGTATTTAAAATCACAAGCTACGTGGTGGTGTTTTATCAAAATTATATTGGTTATATTCTCGGCTTCAGTAACTTTCATTGTGCCTTCCCTATAAATACCTTCATGGTAATTGTTCGGATGAGTTCTTCGTTACAATACATAGACTTCTCAAATTTAAGCGTTGTACTAGATAGACAAGATCTCTGTCTATATTTCTGAGACGAGGTATTATGTGCATTATTTACATTATTCGGACTAGATTATTCCGGACTATTATTATGTATTTACATTATTCGGACTATTTTCCTCATCTTAAGTTGGGGACAATAGTCCGAATAATGTAAATAATGTAGACAAGATCTCATCAATTAACAGTTGAATTGGCTAAATGCAAACCATAATTTCTATGCTAACATTTTCTTTTCTCGCACTTCTCGTATGGACTCTCTTCCAGCTCCATGATTTTCGGCCAACTTTGATTTTCTTCTTCTTGGAATATTAATCGGAATCTACTGTCTCTTCTATTGTTCTCGCGCTTTCATCTTCTGTTTCTAATTCTTTCACACCCAGTAACTCAGTGTTTACAGCCTTGCTTTGGGGAAATTCGATTAAAAATTGTTAATATTTTATTTATAACCATTTTCCGAATTTTGTGATCAGCTTTAGCGGTATACTTGAGGGACAAATAAATCGAAACATGTCTTTCCCAAATGCGTTAGTGCGAAAGTGAATGCAACAGACTAAATCAGGATGTAATCTTAACTTGCCTATTTCTCATTTCACGCTGATAACCTTTGCACTACAAGACTTGTGTCAACCAGTGGGCATAGTTTTCATTCAGACCAAGAAAAAACATTGCGGACGAAATAATTCTGGTGTTAATATTTTTAAACTTCCATTGGAATAAAAATGCGAACAGAAGTTTTAAAAAAATATTCTGAAGTTCTTGTTCTATTTTATAGCAAACCTGAATATCTCATTTTTAAATGTGAATAGCTGTTGTGACAGGAAATTTGTATGGAGTGAAAGCCAGTCCCTCCCCATCTCCAGCCCTCTCTCGCTCTCTCGTTCGCTCTCTCGTTCGCTCTCTCTCTCTGTATCAGTGCTGATGATAAGCGTCGCTCATCTATGCTTTTTGTTGATGAAATATATACGGAGCCTTTATCTGCTATCTGTCAATATTAATTAGCTTGATGCCTTCTCGCCGGTCAGTTGCACCGTTTTACTTTGTAATAGAAGTTTCTTATCTGTACAAAGGTTCATGCAATAAAAAGCCATAATTATGAGCGGAATGGTGTTATTCTAAAGCAGACGAAATAATCGAGTCGATATCAAATCTCATTCTTTACAAGAAAACAGAATGCCATTTACAGAAGCTAAATTTGGGAGACGCTTCACGTATTCTAAAACTGGTAGTGTATCTAATTTAGCGCTTAATGCACCTTTCAATAA